TCTTGTATGCACACTGTATCATCTATTAGGATTGCTGTCTCTTATACACATCTAGATGTGTATAAGAGACAGATACAGGGTTTCACCACACTGGCCTGGGATTACAGGCGTGAGTCCCCGCACCCGGCCTACAATTTTTGAATCACTCTTTAAATTACTTAATATTTTTGCAGTGACTTCTGTTCATTTTTAATAAAAGAAAAGAGGAACTCAGAACCCCACAGACCAAAGCTCTTCCCATTCATGAACCCCGCACCCCAAGTCAGGATTCTTTTCTGACTATCCTCCCGTGGTCCCTGAACGAAGAGACGCCGTGCTGCGGGTGCAGAGCTGCCAAGAGAGGGCTCCAGACCAGGGCACAGTCACTGCGCAGGGAAGAGAGAGGACGCCCGGGGTCCCGGCTGTCGCGCAGCCGCCATCTTGTGGCTGAAGGGGACTGAGGCCGAGCTGGCCAAGGAAAACTCGGGCGCAGATTGTGGAGCTGACTGCGAGAAGGCCTGAGAACCGCCACGCCACTTCCCACCGGTTCCAACCAGCCCCTTCCCCTCTCCCCGGATGTCCGACCCAGCACTCTCACCATTTCTAGGCTTCCAGGGGGGACCTGGCGTCTTAGCTGGGGATCTCCCAATACCTGCAGGTCACAGGGCCACAGAGGCTGGGCCTCTAGGAGCAGAGGACATAGATTAGGGAAGACAAGACCTGCAGCTCCGTCTGCAGCGAGAGACAAAGTACCCGCCAAACCCGAAAGCCGCCCCGTCCGCTGCAGCTGCGTGTCTGATTGGACGGTTTCCGCCCAGCGTCCCTGATTGGATAATGTTGAAGACCCCGCCCTTTCAGGCCTTGAGTGACAGGAGATGTGATCACATGCTGGCCTGAATGAAGAAAGAGTAACAGCTTCTAAGCTGCAGCCTTTTTAGGCAGGACTTCCTGCCTGAGCTGAGACAGGCCCAACTCGGAGGAATTTGCATTTAACCTTGTGCGTAAGGTCATATGCGTTTATACATAATACATTATATGGGCGGGAGCGGTGGCTCACGCCTGTAGTCCCAGCTACCTGGGAGGCTGAGGCAGGAGAATCCCTTGAACCTGGGAGGCGGAGGTTGCAGTGAGCTGAGATCGCTTTGAATTCCAGCCTGGGCAACAAGAGCGAAACTAAACTCCGTCCAAAAAAAAAAAAAAAAGGGAGGCAATCTTCTGAAATAGAATGTGAGCCACAGGTGAATTTTAAATTTTCTGGTTAGCCAAACTTTAAAAAGAAAGAAGAAACAGGTCAAAGTGATTGTAACAATTTCAGTAACCCAATATATCCAAAATATTACTATGTGAGCAATGTGAATTATTAATGTAGCATGTATATATTTGGAACTATATATTTGGAAGTAAATCTGGGTTTTTTGTTTGTTTTGAGACGGAGTTTCGCTCTTGTTGCCCAGGCTGGAGTGCAGTGGCACGATCTCAGTTCACGGCAACCTCTGCCTCCCAGGTTCAAACGATTCTCCTGCCTCAGCCTCCTGAGTAGCTGGGTTTACAGGCATATGCCACCCTGCCCTGCTAATTTTTGTATTTTTAGTAGAGACGGGGTTTCTCCATGTTGGTTAGGCTGGTCTGGAACTCCCCACCTCAGGTGATCCACCCGCTTTGGCCTTCCAAAGTGCTGAGATTACAGGTGTGAGCCACCGCCCACGGGCTACTAAGTCTGTTTTTTGCCTTTCCAGCACATGACAATGTAGACCCAGCCACATTCCAGGCACTCAGGAGCCACACATGAAGTGCAGCTCTGATGCTGGGTGGGTAAAAGGCCTGAACAAATTTATTCTGTCAGTGTGAAGGAAGGGCCTCTTCCTAACAACATCTCTCTTCAGTTTCGAGGATGGAAAAGATAGTGGCCGTAGAAAGAGCAGAGGGCAGCAGGAATAAAATAACCACAGGTAGATAACTGCTGGCCACTTTTGGCCCACCTTCCTTCCAGAGATCAGAAAGGGAACAAAGGATGATAGGACCAGAGGAGAAGAAAACTCTAAGTCTTCATACCTGTACATACTCTTGACTTGCAATGTTTAAATATAGAGAAAATAGATTAAAGGCAAACACATTTTGCTATTTGGTCTAGAACCTAATCATCAGGCCTCCTGGATTCAAGTGATTCTCGTGCCTCAGCCTCCGGAATAGCTGGGATTACAGGCGTGTACCACCATGCTCAGCTGAATTTGTTTGTATTTTTAGTAGAGATGGAGTTTGCCATGTAAGCCAGGCTGGTCTTAAACTCCTGGCCTCAAGTGATCCGCCCACCTTAGCCTCCCAAAGTGCTGGAATTATGGGCATAAGCCACTGTGCCTGGCTATGATATATTTTTACATTTATGGTTTAGGTGATGTGTTCTTCTTCTCTGCCAGGCCTCTGCCAAAACGTGGGATGCTGACATATCCCTGGACCTAGCACCTAGGTAATGTGACTCTTGTATTTTGCATAGGTCCCATGTATTTTGAGTACTGTGACTTATGACTAGACCAAACACCTAGAAGATGGGAGACACCTGTCTGTGCCCTGTAAACAGGGTGTTAGCCCTACCATTCTCAAGAGCCTTATGACATATCTCTGTATTCATCACCTGGGAGATGTGACTCTCCTCTGCTGCCTGCATCCTGCCCACTGGAAAGATTGTGACATAACATTTGGCCCAGCAACAGGGTGATGTGTTTTCCTGGGTCCTGTTCACAGGGAGTGAGTGTTGTGACATATCACTGGGCACATCACCCACGTGCTGTGACTCTGCTCCCCGTGCCCGCCTTTCAGAACAGGAATGTAACATATCCCTGGCCAAGCACCCAGGTGACGTGACTCTTCTTCCTAGTTTCTGCCATGAGAAAAGATTGTGACATATCTCTGACCTAGCACCAAAATGATGTGACTCTCTTGCTCACACACTCTATGCACAGGTGGGATTGTAAAGTATATTTTTGTTCAGCTCATAGGTGAGGTGATAACTCTCATATCTCAAATCAACAAATAGGGGACATACTGCCTTTCAAAACTAGGGTTAGGGAAATACATAAGATTCTGGGTCTCCTCCTTGTATGAAGGTCATAGTGGATTACCACTCTCGTATATATCATATAAACCCTTCAGGTGGTACAGAGAGTGTCATCACAGGGCCCAGCACACAGGTGACATTGCATTTCTTGTATGCACACTGCATCATCTATTAGGATTGTCACCTGGCACATGGACAGAGCCTACTGGTAAGGTCTTGAATCTCACACGTGGATGCAGTCTACAGTTGAAATTGCAATGGTCATAGTTGAACATCTGGCTGCACTTGGGATGGTGACTCATTTATAACCTAGCTCCACAGCAGGTGAAAACTCTTTTATCTGGAACCAGCCAATTATAGAGATGTTGACTCTCATACCTGGGTTTAGAACCACAGGTACAATCATGGGTCCATACCATCATGAAGGTCACAGAGTGGTTTGCAACTCTCATTAATACTGTAGAAAGCTCTTGACTGGTACTGAGAGTCTTAGCAGAGCCCAGCACACAGGTAAGATTGTGAGGCTCACATGCACACCCAGCCAACAGCAAAAATTGTCACCTTTCCATATGAACACAGCCCACTATTGAGGTCCCAAGTTTTCCTTGTGAAAACAGTCAAAAGTTGGAAAATTTACTCATGTGTGAATTTGGTTCAAAGGTGAGTTGGTGACGCTCAGACCTCTATTCAACACACATGTGAGTCTGTGGCTCCAGTAAGCATTCAGTCTGCATGAGAAATTGAGGCTCTCACAAACAAATCAAATAGCACCATTGAGATTGTGACTCTTGTACTTAGACCCAACATACAGGAGGTGTTGACTCAGATTTAGAACTAGGACATGTGTGAAATTGTTAATCTAATTTGTAAACCATCCTGCAGGTGTGATTGTGACATATGCCTCTGCTCAGTACATGAATAATTTGACTCTCCTGCCTGGGCCCAGTCCGTAGTTGCAATTGTGACATATTGCTGAACCCAGCACATAGGAGATGTGACTCCATACTCCTGCCTTGGTGCTGCCTATAGGGGCCATTGTGACATATCCCTGGGCCTTGCATCCAAGTGATGTAAGTGTCTCCTTTTCTGGTACTGCCCACAGGGGACACTGTGATATATTCCTGGGCCACAAACCTAGCTTATGTCATTCTCCTGTTTGTTCTCTGCCCACATGGGCCACTGTGACTTACTGCTGAGTTTAACACCCATGTGATGTAACACTTCAGCCTCAGCCCTGCCTACTTGGAACATAGTGATGTATCACTGCACCCATCACCCAGGTGATGTGACTCTCTTTTCCTTTGTGCTCTCTGCTCAAAGGGGAAGATTGTTACCTGTTGCTGGGTCCAGCACCTAGCTGATGTGACCCTTCTCATCTTTCTAAGTTCTGCCTGACGGGGAGATGTTGACATTTTACTTTGCCCAACACCGAGGTGACACTAACCTGTTGGCTTTGTCCTACTTTCAGAAGACATTGTGACATATTGCTGGGCCAGCACCAAGGTGATGTGAGTCTCCTGCCGGGACCCTGTTCTCAGAGGGCATTGGTACATATTTCTGACTTCGTCAACTATTTCATGTGACTCTCCTCTCTTACCTGGGCTTTGACTGTAGAAAAAATTGTGACATATCTTTGGGACCAAAACCTAGGTTATGTGACTCTCTTCTTAGCACATGGTCAAGCCCACAGAACCAAGATGCCTTATCGTTATATCTAGCACACAGGTGAGGTGATTATTCTGTGTGGTCCCTGCCTACAGGGGTCATTTTGACATATTTCTAAGCCCATCACCTAGATTATGTGACTATCTTCATGTAAACTGTACACAGAGAATATTGTGACATATCGCTTGGTCCAGAACTTTCGGGATGATTGTGACATATCGCTGGCACCACCACCTAGGTTACGTGACATTTTTCTTCTCTCTTAGCCCTACCCACAGAGGACATTGTGACATCTCTTCACCTAGGTAATGTTACTTTTTTGCCTGGACCATGCCCTGTGACATATTGCTGGACCCAGAAACTAGGGGATGTGATGTAGGGGAAAGAAAGAGAGATCCGACTGTTACTGTGTCTATGTAGAAAGAAGAAGATATAAAAAGCTCCATTTTGTTCTGTACTAAGATAAATTCTTCTGCCTTGAATTGCTGTTCATTTGTAACCCTAGCCCCAACCCTGTGCTTGCAGAAACGTGCTGTGTTGACTCAAGTTTTAATGGATATAGGGGTGTGCAGGATGTGCTTTTTAAAAAATGTGTTTGAAGGCAGTAAACTTGGTAAAAGTCATCGCCATTCTCCAGTCTCAAGTATCCAGGGACACAATATACTGCGGAAGGTCACAGGGACCTCTGCCCAAGATAGCCTGGGTATTGTCCAAGGTTTCTCCCCACGGAGACAACCTGAGATACCGCCTCGTGGGAAGGGAAAGACCTGACCGTCCCCTAGCCCGATACCCATACAGGGTCTGTGTTGAGGAGTATTAGCAAAGAGGAAGGCCTCTTTGCAGTTGAGATAAGAAGAAGGCATCTCTCTCCTGCTCGTCCCTGGGAATGGACTGTCTTGGTGTAAAACCTGATCCTATGTGCTATTTACTGAGAGAGGAGAAAACTGCCTTATGGCTGGAGGTGAGACATGCTGGCGGCAATACTGCTCTTTACTACACTGAGATGTTTGTGTAAAGTCAAAC